ACAACACTCCTAGAGAGGCCAGTGTCTCCGATGTTACTAATGTACAATGAATTTTTTATTTATTTATTGAAAAAAATTTAATTTGTTTTATTATTTAAAAAAATTTCTATTTTATAATTATTCATTTCGTCAATTGATTCAAGCATTGTCTCCGAATTTACGCAAGTGTGCAAAATTTCTGATCGATTGTACAGGTAGAAGTGTGTTAAATATCGATTATAAGATTTGTAGCAGACAAACAACACCAAGTGAAGTTAAAGAGAAGTGTTGTAATAAAGAATACTAAATAACTCACAGTGAAAAATGCGATGATAAAAATTCTTCTGCGCTCTCATCACTTAACTCATGACAAAAAAAAAAAAAACCAGTACAGCATGTATAAGAAATAATGTTTCTTATGCAGACGATAACGAGGAGTAAAATTAAAGAATTTTCCTTTAAATTTTTGCTGAAAATGCCTATGAAAATGATGCCACTCCCGTTTCCCACTCCACGACTTCTCAAATCCTACATGATGCGTCGGAACTGTCACTCTTTAAATCATTCTATATGTTTAAGTGCAACAGGACTTTGTTATAGGCGTAAATCACAGCTGATGTTACGTTTCACAAGACCAGGATTTTAATTTATTAAACTTCTCTCAGAGAAAAGACGGTACAAATGAAAGCCGCTCATACAGAGCGCTCTGCCAAAGGAGTGACTATATACATCATCTACTGATTCTACTCCAATCCAATCCAGTTCACTCAGAAAATGAGCACTGAAAATAATAATAATAATATTAATAAAAAATAGTAATTAATAATAACAAATTATAATAAAGCATATATTGTATAATTGTATACATCGAATTGGCCGGAATTTTCTGTACGAAAATTATAATTTTCATAAATGAACACAAAGTTTTTTAGGGCCCTTGAGAATATTTTACGGAGGATGAATCCCCTCTAAAAAATTCCTATGATGCCACTGACGTTCATAAACTTAGAAGTAAATTCATGTAGAAACAGTTTGTTTATTTTATTCTGTGGACCACTTATCCCAAGGCCGCACATTCAAAACACCGCTAAGTGCAGGCAGCGACAAGCGTGCTGCGTATGTCAGTCAAGTGGGGGCCCATGTGTCGCATCTGAACAAGGCTCTAGGGAACCAATATTCGCGTCGCTAATTAGAGTGAGTTTTAAGATTGTTTCCTGCTTCATTGTGATAATTTTATTATTGATAAGTAATTGCCTTAATTTAGTCAGGTTGCGTCCGTAACGTCATAGGCTTTACTCAGAGTACTTGTGTTTATAAGTTCTCGTGTGAAATAGCTTACCACAAAAACCGTGCGGAGACAGTTGAAATGCAACACCGGTACGTTTAATATTAAACTAGTGAATTCAAGTTCACATCATACGTTGACAAAAATCTCTAGTACAGGAAAAGTGGCAATCCGAACACAATCTCAAAGTTCAGAATATATCAGTTTACATTACTGAAATCTCCTACTTTTACCAGAAATGTTGATCCATTGCAGATCGACTGCAACGACTTCCGTAAATGACTGTACTTTCACGACTGTCGTAAACGACCGTACTTCATGCGCATGATGGCGGCCGTATTTCCAGCGGCCGTACCGCAGCTCTAGTCGCGAATTCCCGTTACCCGCGGTCGTTCTTTACCCATGGTCGTCGTGTCCCGCTGACATAGTAGTTGTCTCACGGTCAGTCTGGCCGTGGGTTGCTTTATAACGACAGCACTTCTGAATAGTGGTGTGAAGTCTTCATCGTCAAAGTGATGTGACCGAGGTTTAAGGTATAAAGGGCCAAGAGAGGTGACACCGTAGTGGGCACAGCTTTATTACGAACTGACAACACACTGTACAACGGGTTACCACAATGACTTATCTTGTTGCCATACAGGCAAGCTAAACGGTAAATGGTGATTACCACAACTCCTCCCTCTTTAGACATTTACATGCATGAAATTATGTAAAAAATGTACAAAAAATATACAAATTCATTTAGGAACCCAGTCCCCATATCTATCAATAGGTTTCTTCATTCTTGTTGGACGACCAACTTGCTCACGAGATGATTCAGTAGGATTCTCAATTCCTGCGACAGTTACTTTACAATTCCTGCGACAGTTACACAAAGATGTTACTACATCGCTCATTGCCGTGCCTCTGCTGTTGGTCATCGTGACCGTACCGCTACTGACGATGACTGACCATCAGCACGGTACTGACCGTACCGTGCTGATGACCGTGCCGATGATATAATTCTTGGGCAGTGCTCGATCTTCAATGTATTGATTGCCGGCCTAAATATCATTGAAGGCCTTTTTGACTCTCGCGTTGTCTTACGGCTAAGTCATCACCGTCTCATTAAATGTTCACAGTACAAATAAGCGAAGTTATGGCCGGTGCTCGTAGATTTCTGACGTTATTATATCGGAGTCGTAGTTGTATGAATGTCTCAAAGATCCGCGCTGGCTATTTTATTGACCCCACCGTCCGACGGCCGGAGCCGTCATCTACGTCTGCAGAGATAGCTGCAGACCGTACTGGCGTGACGGTCAGCACAGTAGAACAACCTTTTGCCGTGAATTTTAGGGTCCTTATAAAGGCAGACGTCGCGCACACATTGGCCTATCAAGGGACCACGCGTCAGTTTCGAGCTCCACAAGGGTCAGCCCTTAGATACCCTCGCCCATTCCGAACTGTAAACAAACTCTCTGCATTTTTTCGCAGAAAAGATTAACTTTACATTTCATATAGTACATATGGAACCGTCCAGTGCATTTGGGAAGTTTGCGAATTCCCCGTTTTTCATTAACTTCAGAAAGGTGGCCGACTACATCTTTCGGAATTGACTGATCTGGAATTGGTTTTGAAGCATGGCCTAATGCTTTCTTATTGGCAAATTCGGACTGCACAGTTTCCTCAGTTTGGCGCCCTCTTTTCTTCATTACATCTTGGCCAGCAAACATTAGTGAAGCAGCGACATTCAGCCTGAATTCGCACAGTGAAGTTAGGTTCCGGTATGGAGTATCTGTCTTTATATTCTTTTCCACTCAACGCCTCAGACATCAGCTGTTAACGACATCCATTTCGAGCATGTGGACGATCAATCTCATGTAGTACTTCTTAGACGTGAAACTCATTCTATAGTATGATGTCATCTGGTCATGAATTTCGATGCCACCCATGCGCTCATTGTAGGTCAATAAAATATTTGGGATTGAGATGTTTGTATACTTTCGTTTTTATCTTGTAAAATCTTCCGATCTCTTTTAAATTTTGCATGCGCACTGTGATAAGAGAATACCTATTGCTCTAGGTCTAGAGCAACCATGGAATTATTTCAAGGCTATGCCGTACGTGATTTTCTTTACATGGTCCAATAAAGTTCACGGAAGTTCAGAAAATGAATTGTACCACAGCTTCTCAACAAGTTCAGCGCTCTACTTCTTAGTTGGCGGCAAGGAGCAGAGATGCACTACCAAAACGAAACAGGGACGCGTATCAAACCTCAACAACATCAATATTACTGAGCATGGTCGAAAAGCGACCGTACCGTACACCTGAGCCGTAAAGGGCAAAACCTTTATAACACCTCTCCTCAGCCACGAATGCAGACGACCCTATACTACGCTCCTACAGCAGTCGTATTCTGTTGTGCACCTTATCACTTATTATTCTTGGTCCTGGATGAAAAACTCTCCTCCGGCATAAATTAATTACTTTTTAGATAGACGTGCAAATGAATAATTTTTTGTTGAGCCCCTTCCTGTCAGGTCTCTGTTCCCAAACCACGCGTCTCTTTAGGTAAACCACTGCTTCACTCATATTGCAAGCATATCTAGCGACAAAATCGCCAGAAATGGCTTTACTATACAACGAATCTTAAGAATGACTCATCCATCCATAGTAGTTGATCCTGATTTATTGTCGATTTTTTTCGTATCGAAAAATAAACAAATAATAATTATTTTGAACATCTGCAATTTTTTGATGGGAATCGGATGGAAAAATGCTCACTTGCAATTAAGTTCGTATTATTTGCAACTAATCTTTTAGGTTACTATTAAATATGTGGACTGTGAAATGTCATATCCTTTCATTTTTTTGCACAATCACTCCGATTGTACATGAACACAGACTTAGACCTTTTTGCATTTTTTCACTGAAATGCATAATTAGAATGCTTTTAGAATAGAATAGAATAGAATAAAAGTGTCGGCGTTGAAGAAATAGGCCCATGGCCTGTTGCCGATTCTTGAACTTTTCGTGACTTGATTCACAAGGGATCCGGCCTTTGGAACCCGATCTTTCTATAGCTGACGATTGATTGAGATAGCTGCTGGACTTATTGCCTGTAGAAATTTTATTCAATACTGTCAAATCACAGAGCAAACATGGAAACAATAAGATGTTTATTTTTAAATTATTGCCCCAGTCCAAAATAAAATCCGCAATTGTTGATCTTAATCCCAATCATTTTGGGGCATTTCGACGAGTTTCGTCTCTTTCCTGACTCCCCAGCGTGGACATCCGGAAAAGAAGAAGATCTTTCCTGGGTTCTGTTCTAACCGTTGAGGCAAGAGGTTCCTTGTGCTGAGCTCCCGTGACAGTGGCCGGCTTCGGCCGGCTGCTACGTCATTGTTCTGGAACAATCTTTCTCGAACTTTGGAAATGCTCTGCTGTCCCGCTCCGAGGCGTTGAGCCGGCGTATGGTACGAGTTATGACCAGCTAAAGTGAAGTTTAACTCCTGAACACCTATAAATGCTCCCAGCATCAAACTGCAAAATTCGTTACAAAGATTTTAAGTTGCCTCCATGTGTGGTTAGTGCCCCCGGTTTCGTGGTTAGTGTCCCCAGGTGAGTGGTTAGTGTCNAATTTTGTACCTGAAAACAAAATTCAGTCAAATTCCTTGAACCGTTCTGACATGGGGCCGCATTGAACCAGTCTTCAGAGGCTCCCATAAATTCCAATCAAAGAAAGAAAGATCTTTCCTGACTCTTTGTCTCCGAATGTCCTATTGACTCGCACGCATCAAATCCGAAATTCCGAATTGTTCAGCTATCAGAGCTGTGACATGTGAGTATGTTGCAAGCCATCAGAAGAAACATATTATCCTGCTAACTGAATAAAAAACAAGTCTTCTTTTGGTAACATCATCAAGGAGTCGGACAAGGACTTCAGGGTAATATTGCTATTAATACTTAGAAGTTATGATTAGCCTAATTAAAGAATTTCAAATTAATTTTTGACTTGTATGAGCAAAATTTGTATTATTTATGTACTAATATGTAGTGGCACTGTGGCACAGTGGCAGACAGCCGTGTCAACTTGTCAAGTGTGGCACTGGCATCTGGCAACTGTAAAATGAAATGAACTTTTTTGTTGACCTTTATTAATATTTAATTAGGAATAACCAGTATCATAATTTATTATAATTAATTAGGATAACCAGTATCATAGATGCCACTGCAGCATTAAGTGATTAACATATATGTAAGATAATAAAAATTAACTGGTTTCTCAAATCTCAATATCTCAATTGCCAATTTTCATTGTAGAAAATTCAAAATTTGATAGCCTTAGTAGCCTACTGGACTAACTGGAACTGGATAGAAATCCAAAGTCCCATCCGGAATATCTGGCACAATTTTCCTAAATTTGTAGTTACAACCATTTCACATGTGATTTTAAATTGAGAAATTGGGCCATTTTGATCATAATTTTATGAATTGCAATCCATAGTGAAAAAACAGATTTTTTAGATTCAGTTAGGGTAAACGCGGTATATTCCGACACATTAAGGACGCATCGAGAAATGAAAAACTATAAAAAAAACTGTATGCGTTACGTAAGTTCTGTTGAAAAGGAAAAGCTGGAGAGGTGACGGAATTACCTACGATGTCGGAATATACCGCGTTTACCCTAATTTTTATTTTTTTTTCATAACTCAAGATTTCAATTGATTTCTGTTTTCTGATACCAGTATATGATAATGCTGTTAAGTGGTACACTTTACTGGCTAACTTAAAGTTAAGAGACTCAAAAATGAATTTCAGGCAGAGTCTAAAGAACTCTCTGCTTTGCCTGTTGGCTGTTTTCCACTATGCCATGGTCAGGAAATTGTGTCAGGTGCGCGTGAATTTATATTGTCATTTAATTAACTTGCGCAATGCGCCATACTATGCTGGTAAAAAAAGGTGCTGTGCGCTCTGTGCTGTACTCCTAAATGGCTAAAATAGTTTGAATATGGACCATAGTGACAAAGGAGAACGTCTTTTTATTTCGAGGTCAACAAATGTTTTCTGAACGCGAGAATTAAGACTATGCTCTTTCGCAAAAATTTTTGAACGCAAATTTTAAATGGCAATTGTGCAACAACATTAAATAATCTTATCACTTTCAACATTGTCAGACCAAGAAGGATTCTGATTACTGACGTTCGGAGGGCTGACGCACGTCAACTAATCTTCATCGAATGCGGCTTGAGAGAGGTTTAACACCTAGATACTCACCCGACCAAAGCAGGATGTGCACTGAGACCCATGTACAGCTAGCAGCAGCTAGCCCTGTGGACAAGACATGCTGCGCGCACACACGTTCGTACGCACACGTTCGTTCGTCTTCTAGCTTTGAACGTCAAGTTTCAAGGCTTTAATCAGTTAATTCTGAACGTTTCTGGACAAGATTTACGACCACTCTTGAGGCCTGAGCAAGCCCATTTTTTTATCTCTTGCAGCGTGGAGCTTCTGCATGACTGCGTAGAGACGCAAACAGCTTTCAAAAATGTCGTTTCAGAATTTTATTCACGGATTAATTTGAATGTTCTATACATTGATTCAGCATAGAAACATACTCCAAGAATAGCTTAGGTATTCATTTAAGCATTATCTATAATATTCTGTATCCAAAAATATGCTGTCGAGAAAATTCGTTTTTTCAGCATATTATATGATAATGATTATGGATTAACAGATTCATTACACACTGTCATCATATTTATCATATATTTACCATAAGTTTTGTATGCACAATTCTCCTTAAATTTACACTCTATTATCTATTAAGGTTGGTAGTACAGCAATCCCTTGATTAACGCGGTTAATAAATCCCCGAGTTTTACCGTGTTAAGCAAAACCGTGCTAATCAAACTTAAGAATATATGGGAATAATTATAATGAATCCTCAAAAATAGCAAAGGAAAGGAAAATTATGTAGTTTGATAAAAAGTGAGCAGTAGATATGGCAGCGATCTTGACCAGTTGAAGGCTAACGAGTAACTAGCCCTTTAACATTCGAGTTATGAACGAGACAAGGCGCAGTTAAACCGACTCTGTAGTCAGCATGAGTGCCTACGGAACGGGACCTTATTTAAAGAATTATTGGCTGAAATTCATAAAGTAACAACATTTGGCGAATTTTTCCAAAAGTCGTAACAAAAGTAACAACATAACATCTAATATGCAAAAAGTAACACTTTTGTTACGAATGTAACACCTCTGGCTAGAGGCGGGAAAATGCTGCGTTGTGAAAAAAAAGTCGCGCTAATCAAAACTGGCACCGCGTAGATTAAGGGTAGGTCGCAAATTTTTTTTCCGCGTTAATCAAAACCGCGATATTCAAAACCGTGCTAATCAAGGGATAGCTGTACATCATTATTGGTAACGATGTGATTCTATCATTTTTCTGTTCACAAACGCTCTATTTTGATCGTATTCGCTCATCCTCCATTGTTCACACGGTAACGATTTGGCAATTAACTAATTCACACGATTCACACGGTAACCACATTGTAACGATGTGATTCTATCATTTCTATGTTCACAAACGCTCTATTTTTATCGTATTCGCTCATCCTCCATTGTTCACACGTTCTCGCAGTGCCCCTAATTAACACATTCCCTGTTATTCCTTTACTCTCACATTCTCTGTTCCCTGACACACGGTCCCTGCTATTCCCTTACTCACATATTCTCCGTTATTCCTTCAATCGAATATTCTCTCTTATTCCTTTACCTACATATTCTATGTTATGCCTTTAATCGAATATTCTCTGTTTTCCTTTTACCCGCATATTCTCTGTTATACCTTTAATGACATTTTCATAAATATTTTTCACTTATTCCTGTCGATTTCATTACTATACTATATCTGGCCGCCTATCATACTATTACTATGCTATATACTATACTATCTGGCTGCCCAGTGGTTAACGTTCAGAGTAGTAGTACCAAGATTGGCGCAGAGAGGCGCGGGTTCGATCCCAGCTCTGTGCGCCAGTTTCTGGTCAGAATCGGCAAGGGGGCCGGGCGGTTAAGCACAGCAGAATTGTAGCAGTGAGTTGCGAGTTCGAGACCGCAAAATGCTGTGAATGTTCTGCGATGTTAAGATTCGGCGACAGGCCTACGGCCTAATAATGCTGAAACCGCTATTATTATTATTATTATTATATACTATTACATAGCAGGTCATATTTATTTAAATTCAAATGAATGACGTTAATTTGGCAGTCCCATTCATTTGTTCAGAAGAATACGGTGGATACTCCATAATTGAAGAAAAATGACACCAACGGTTGCGCGCACGCACATGAGGGCTTTGGAGAAAGTTTTTATATGTTGAGAACATGTAACATCATTTGAGAACGTATTAAAAATAATAGGCGATGAAAAAGTTTCAGATATAGTCCACCCTCAACCAGCCTTGTATAGCTGACTGGAAGGCAGGTAGCGATGTTGCTGCCACGATGTCGGCACTCAGGGAGTTCCATATTCTGATGGCCGAGGTGGACGTCAGTTCTGCTGCGTGGGACCTGCAACTTCTGTTGGTGCCCCTTGTTGTGTGTGTGACTGATTGGCACAATCCTGAAGAAGGTTGGACAGCAACTAGGCGATGCAGCATTTTGTACAGCGTGCATGCTTTGTCTGCCGTTCTCCTTAGATTAAGCTTTTCCAGCTCAAGTCTGTCTACTATCTCAGTGGCACTGGATGTGGGGCTAAAGTCTCCCAGGGTTCTGCGGGTGCGAGCAGCTCTGCATTGTACCATCTCAGGGGAGGTTTTCCTTTAGTTAATTGCCAAATGGGAAAATTAGGGTTTTTGTTCTAGTATTCATTGTAATGGAGATGGAATGGAATGATATATTTATATTAAATTAGTTGAAATTGCATTCATCTTTTTGCGCCTGCAATAATATTGCAATGTCAGGGTCAGAGCAGACGTACCCTCACGTTTGGTCAGTGGTATTGGTTTACAGCTTGGACACTTTTTGAAATTAATTTTTTAAGGCTTTTCAGAGCAGGCCTACCATGCATAATAAAAGCGGTCTTGATAAAATTTAAAACAAATCTTTTTATCAACAATACTCTTATGCGAGTGTTGTTAGAATTTTTTGTCCACTTTGATTTTGACTAGCGCACTATGTGCTAATTTCTAGCAGGTTTTTCACGCATAACTTTGGCAAATCTAAACCAAACCTGAGTGCATTTAGGGAGAAGTTGCTCAGTAACATTACGCTCCTGCGAGCAATGTCAGAATTTTTTTCGCTGCTTAATTCCTATGTATCGCGCTAAAGGCCAAGTTCACGCACACCTAACATAGCGTTCTAAACCAGTGTTTAGACTGGAAAACTAGCTGAGAAAAACCATTAAAGAAATTCTTTCTAAAAATTCGACCCTAATGTGTTCATGAAGTGTTTGGTTTTGGAATATAATCTCACATATGCACTGAAAGGATTTCATAATATATGGTCTACCGTCTAGATCAAGTTTGGCAAGTATAGATTAAATGAAGATTGATCGATGGAAGTTGCACATACGTCTCAGACAAATTTACAGCTAGACTTGCAGCCTGTGTCTATTCAGTAAGCATGGAATATCTGATGAAACTTTGTACACATATTCATTAGGACCTAATGGTGATGTTTAGCTCCTGACATTTTCCAGATTTTGCCTTTGTTTGCAAGTTTTTTTAGTCTCATTCCTGATTTAAACAGCAATACGTTCTTAAATTTACAGTGAGCACAAAATTTCTTCTAAAATACCGAACAGATTTGAACAAAACTTCGATCGTATATGAATACCTAACCTCCTAACAATGATGTTTAGCTTGTGATAATTTTTTATTCTGCCTTTGTTTGCGAGTTATACGGCTTTACATATACGGCTCATGGCCAATGCAAGGTTGAAA